ACTCGTGTTTGGGAGGCAGTAAATTATGCAGTTTGTGTGTCGGATTGTTAGTAATATTTGTAAAAAGTTTGTTACACATTTCGTCGCGTCTTTGGAACAAAGTTTGAAGATTGGAATATTCTAAAGTTTCGCTATATGAGTTCGCGGGTAAAATTATCTTCAGTGCTCGCTTTTGTACCGTCTCAAGATCTTCTGACAGGAAGGATGGGATTGAGTAATGGAAAACTAACATGGATATGTTATTAGGTTATGGATAGACTAACACAACTCAAGTTTAATCCTCTAGACTTTGATAACAATATTACTAGCGCTCGACATTTTGAAAATTATATGCAGGAAAATCTTGATTGTCTAACATGCAACTATTACCTACCAAACGACTTTCCTGCAATTAATTCTGATAGCAAAAAACTATCAATACTAAACCTGAATATAAGAAGTATAGCAAATAAGTTTGACTCGCTTAGAAATCTACTAAATACTTTAAAACAACCCTTTTCTATAATTAGTTTAACTGAAACTTGGCTTAATGACAAAAATAGTGAAAATTTCAATCTTAGTAATTTCGATTTTATTTGTTCTAACAGGGAAAATAGAAAAGGCGGCGGAGTAGGATTTCCTATTTCAAATAGTTTAAACTACAAACTACGAACTGACCTGAATGTAAACGAGGATGGAATAATTGAAACGCTTTTCATTGAAATTATTTTAACAACTGGTAAAAATATTATCGTTGGTACTATCTATAGACCGCCAAGTGGTAATTTTGAAATGTTTGAAAATAAACTAAATACAATACTAACGGAAGTTGACAAAACAAGGAAAATAACATATTTGACAGGGAATTTTAACATTGATCTTTTGAAATCTGATGATTGTGAATATTCTAGTAGATTTTGTGAGCAACTTTTTACCTCATCGTTTTTTCCACTTATAAATAGACCAACTAGAATTACCCAGCATACAGCTACTTTAATTGATAACATCTTTACAAACGATCTTGAACATATAGATTCAAGCGTGAACGGATTAATCTTCTCAGATATTTCAGATCATCTGCCAATATCTCATATAGCTTGTTTATCCTCAAACAATAATGACCCCAAAACGGGAAATTCACATTTCAAACGAATAGCAAACGAAAATAATCTTGACTTGTTTCTAGCATCTGTGAAAAATATATCATGGGAAAGTACTTTCAAACCCAATGACCCATGTGAATCCTATACGAACTTTCATGATAATTTGAAGATAGCAATCGATAAAAGTTTTCCCTTAGTAAAAATAAAAGACAAATTCGTAAACCACACAAAAAGTCCCTGGATGACAAATGGTATATTTAAGTCCATATCAAAGAAAAATAAACTTTATAAAAAATTTCTTAAAAATCCAACTCACAAAAATGAGACTGACTATAAAAAATACAAAAACAAACTGAATCACGTAATAAAAACCGCAAAAAAGGCCTATTATGAAAAACAATTTGTTAAGTACAAAAATGATACAAAAAAAACATGGCAAACTATCAATGAAGTTCTTAACAGAAATAAAACAAGAAAAAATCTACCTGATACTTTTCTACAAAAGAGTTCAAATAACAATGTTACGAATCCTCAGGAAATTGCTAACAAATTTAACGAATATTTCGTAAATATAGGCCCTCAACTAGCAAAAAAAATTCCAGGAAATGATAACACAACATACGAAAGCTACCTTAACGGTAATTATGCCGAAAGTATGTTTATTGAACCTGTGACAGAATATGAATTGCAAATTGAAATTAATAACTTAAATGAAAATAAAAGTGCAGGACATGATGAAGTAAGTGCGAAAATGATAAAAAAGATTAGTGAAAATATAATCAAGCCTCTAACATATATTTATAATTTATCGTTTCAAACTGGAAAAATACCAAACTTTCCGAAACTAGCTATAGTTAGTCCTATTTATAAAGCTAATGAAAATAATCTTTTTGAAAATTATAGACCTATATCGGTTTTAACTTGCTTTTCTAAATTACTTGAAAAACTTATGCACAAACGACTATATAACTATGTTGAGAAACATCAAATACTTTCAGAACATCAATTTGGTTTTAGAAGGAATAAATCAACCGAACATGCCATTCTTGAGCTAACCGATAAGATTTCGAAGGCAATGGACGAAGGTCTATATACAATAGGTATTTTCCTTGATCTTTCTAAAGCCTTTGACACAGTGAATCACGAAATTCTAATAAAAAAACTTGAACACTACGGAATTAGAGGAATATGTCTACAGTGGTTTACAAATTATTTACAGGAAAGAAGCCAAATTGTCAAATATAAGCAACATAGGTCAAATGAAATGAATGTTACGACTGGAGTCCCACAGGGTTCAATACTTGGACCACTCTTATTTCTAATATACATAAATGATATTGAAAATTGTAGTAACATCCTTTCTTTTGTTTTATATGCTGATGATACAAATGCTCTTTGTTCAAATTCATGTTTAAAAACATTAGCTGACATTATACAAAAGGAAATGAATAAAATAGTGGCATGGCTAAATGCCAATAAATTATCAATCAACCCATCCAAAACAAAATTTATCATTTTTAAATCAAGAAATAAACCATTGAATCAAGAAATTACTCTCAAAATAAATAACAATATTATTAAACAAGCATCTTATGTAAAGTTTTTGGGCGTATTAATTGACCACGAATTTTCATGGAAGAACCACATTAGCTCAGTTCAGAAAAATGTAATAAAATCCGCGGGTTTGATTGCAAAATTAAGACATTTTACTAACAAAAACAGTTTGAAATTGGTATATTATGCTTTAGTCTATCCATACCTCACGTACGGAAATCTAGTTTGGGGAAATACGTACCCAACCAGGCTTTAAAAGTTACTGAATGTGCAAAAGAAAATTGTTCGACTAATTAGTTTTAAATCCTATATGGAACATTCAAAACCACTATTTTTGGATTTGAAAATCTTGAACATCTACCAAATCAATGATTATTTATGTAGTTTATTCATGTATCGTCGCTACTATTGTCAAAATTTGCCGGACTTTTATAATGATTACTTCAAACAAAATAACGATGTACACAACCATAATACGCGAAATTCTACCAAGTTACATGTGAGTTATAAAAGAACAAACTACCGTATATACACTGTATTCAACAAAGGAATTTCTTTATGGAATTTTCTTGATGACGAAATTAAAAATACTAAAACTTATTTTTCTTTTAAGAGAAAAGCAAAATCCCTTTACTTATTATCTAATTAATGTAAATAAATTATAAAAACCTTAGCAATAGCCTTAGGAACACTAATGATAGTAATGTACTATTTTATTTCTTAGTTTTTTTTTCATCTTTCAATTTGTTATAAATAGTTTCTGCTTGTATATAATTTCTTCTTTCATAGTCTTTTATCACTAGAATACTAAAACTAGGGGCCTTACTATAAAAGTCCAATAGGATTTCCAAAGGTCCCTAGCCCATTATACTACTGTAATTATTTTTTTACTACTTGTATATATTTTGTGGGAAAAAAAAAAACAAAAAACAAAAACAAAACCGGGGCACAATATTCCAAAATGGGCCTGATAACTGTACAGTAAAAGTTTACAATGTCTTTCGGACTGACTTTTGCGCGCTTAAGTAAGATAATGAAGTAAAGACGTTTGTTAGCTTTTTTGATGACTTCGTTAATGTGGTTAGTCCATTTAAGGTTACTAGAGATGGTGAGGCCTAGAATTTTAGCGTTTTGGACAACCGGCAATTTCTTCCCGTAGACTGTAAGAGGGTCGAAGTTCTGTTTCGTGGATTTAAAGTCGATTTGGAGTTCTTTACATTTATCTGCATTAAGAAGTAATCTGTTGGAATTCGACCAGTTTTCTACTGTGGTAACTGCGTCTTGGGCTTTGCTGGTATCGCCTTTTTTAACAACCTCAGAAACGGTTGTATCATCGACATACTTCCAAGTAGATACTTCAGTGATTTTAAGATCATTGATCATCCATAGAAAAAGCCATGGCCCAAGTTTCGTGCCTTGAGGGACACCAGCCGGGACAGCACCCCCACTCTGAAACGCAGTCGGTTGCGAGTTTAACTCTTTGTTTTCTGTCCAATAGAAAATCAATAGTACTGCGTACGACTGCCTTCGGAATTGGTAATCTGGAGATCTTATCAGCGAGTATACAATGGTCAATAAGGTCAAACGCTTTTTTATAGTCGAACACGACTACTCTGACTGCTGCGCCAGTGCCATCAGTTGATTGGGACCAATTGTGGATCATTGATATCGCTGCCATAGATGTAGAGGATTTTGGTATCACTCCAAATTGGTTGGGGTCGATTTGACACAGAATAGCTGGCCCAATGTATTTAGAAACAACGAATTCTCCTGCTACTTTAGAAAGGGCTGGGGTGAGGGATATTGGTCTTAAATGTTTACAAATTTCGGTTACCTGTTTCGTTTTTATGATTGGAACAACATCAGCTGCTTTCCACGAGGCAGAGAGTCGTTGTTCATTAAAACTGCTATTGAGAATCGAACTAACAGGCTGGGCGAGGACTTCTGCATATTCGTTTAACACCCAATTCGGAACACCGTCTGGGCCTGAGGCTTTTCTGGGGTTAAGGGACGCAAGCCCTTTATACACATCAAATTCGTCGAGATGGAGGACTAGACTGCATGATGGGACACTAGACTGCATGATAGAACATCCTTTTGAAGCAAAAATAATTTTGAAATTCAAATCTGTCAAATTCTTTACCAATGCAATGGGAATCGTTAGCTGATTAAATTACGGTTTTACTAGTAGGCAACTATATGTTTTCCTGTGCAACATAAAAAGTTTTAGAACGTTTTAAACACTAGATAATGAGAATTGTCATGTGGCGCTTCTTGATGTGACCAAATTAGTTATTCACTGGTCAATTAAAAACGAAAAGACAGGCCATTCAGATAACCAGGTTTGTTCTTTCCGACCAATAAAAAGAAATAGTATAACATGCCAGCAAGACAGAAATACCACCGGGTAAATTTGTGGTGGTCAAACCAATATGACCGCCATTGGTTTCAATTACGCGTATGCACCATACAGTCCAAGTGACAAATAATATATGCAAAATTTATGAAAATCCCATTTTTGCTGAAAACGCAAAAATGATTAGTTAGTATAATTCACGTATAATTATAGTGATGATTACGTGGTCAATTTTCACACTTTGTTAATTTCCATCGCCAGTCGCCACTGATTGTCGTATTTACTCGATTAAACGTCGGAGTGTTTAACGGTACGGAGCATATTCAATCTTAGGCTCCAGTTTAACACACGATACCGGATTCGTATCGGAGCGACATCAATTTAAGGTGTTTTCCAGTCTTGTCAGCTATTACAACTTTTGATATATGAAGTTTTTGTTTAATTATGTTATATTATCATAATTTTAAGTGCCAAATTCACTTCGAAGCAGTAAAATTTGATGTCGTTCCGGGGCGTTTATTCGAGAGCTTTTTTGCCAGTTATTTGACAAACCAACGGCACTATTACAAACCGTTGTACTGAGTGAGAGTAAAACAAGCACGTCTCTTCTTTTTCATTAGAAATTAGCTTATACTGACGTGAAAACTGAGTTTTAAGTTATTATATAGCGCTATTGTTTTCTTAAGAATGATTGTAATAATAACATAACATAGCATAGCAGGTTAACGAGAAAAGATGCGGCGTTTTTCAAGCATCTACGACAAACTACATGACGAAATTGCACTTTTAAAATTACAATTATGGTTTATTTAATTATAAAAAAGTGCTATACAGCATACAGACTTGTTAAATATAAGTAAGTGACGGACCATTAGATATTTGAAGGGGGGGGGGGGCAAATACCAAAAAAAAAAATTCGCGCACAGAAAAAATTCAGAAAAAAATATCGTGCACAACAAACCCATTGAAAACAAAATCGAGCAAGAACTAGGGCAAATTTTTAAAATCGTAATGCAATTGTTTTAAATACCGCAATTGTTTTAACGAGCAATACTTACAAGCAGCTGGGGGGTAAAAAAAAATCGTGCACAGAAAAATTGCCCAACCCCCCCTCAAATATCTAATGGTCCGTCGCTAAGTGATGCAAGTGAAACCTTCTAAAAGCCGAAATACATAATCATTACAAGCTTTGTTAATTAAAATTGCATATTAGGTAAAAGGTTAAATATCCACCTTAAAGTTTCGAGTGGTTCACAATATGATGTAAAGAGAAAATAAGACACTTATTATACCATGCTAGGGGCGGTAGCCCCCTCTTCGACAGGTTTTTCGACAGGTTCTGCAATTCCTTGACTTTTATCGTTGTTAATATTAATTACTTCAACAAAAATAGTGTTGTTTTCATATTTGTTAACTTTCAAGATATGTTCAAGTTTTTCCCTCGTTGCCGCATTCCTGGAATTCTTTTGTGATATATGGTGTTCGGCAAAAATCGTGTCAAAAACAAAGAGTATCAGGGCGCCTGCTATTGCACTGATTAATTGCACACTTTCAGAAAGGCCCGATTCCCGCACTACAACCATGACGATGATGAAACCTAAAACATATACACCAACGAGAATCATTCTTCTGAAGAAATAGAACACAAGCTGGTCCAAACGAAGAATTTCTTTCTCGACTTTTTTGTAAAATTCTATGGAAATCATTGCCTCGCCATGTTTATCAAATTTGATAACGAGTTCGTTGTCTACTTTACTGTTCTTATCCGTATCTGCTTCCTTGTTACGACCGTTACCACGATCACTTTCAGCGCCTGTACTCCCCAAATTGTCTCTATTAAATCCTGACGCATTCGATGTTGCAGGTCGGCTGTCACTAGACCGACCCGATTCACTTTTACCTTCTTCATGATATCCCGAAGGTGTTACATGTTGTTCCTGATCCTTTTTTCCTTCGGTTTTACGATCATTTTTAGCATTGTTCCCTTCAGTGTCCGAAGTATCTCCTGACGCTTTCGATGGTGAAGGTTGGCTGTCACTAGGTCCTCTGGTTTTACTATTACCACTTATTTCAGTTGTAACGTCCTGCTTTTCGCCATTTCTGGTATTAGTGTTTTTCATGGAGCAACAGCAAAGATTTTTTCCACATCTCCAGGTGTGTGGATCTTTACTGGTATCTCGAAAGCATGGGCATAGGAAGTCAAGAAAGCGATCCTTGGCCGCCAATTTATTGTTATTTTCTCCATTTACATTTGTACCACTGTTCTTTGAGATCTGTTCGTTTTCCGGTGCCCTTGCTTTCTCCTTACAAACTTTGATAATTAACGTTTTGAGTTGCAAACATTTTGCTTCTACAGAAAACTTCCAATTCTTCCAAAAATAGATTATCATAGTCAAAATGGGTGCAATGAAAGGGTTAAAGTATTCTGCGTTAAGAGTTAAACCAACAACTACAGAAAGAGCGAAAATAAAAATTGTGCCTGTGAAAAGGACGCATATGACCAAAGTTACAAGCCTTAATAATAAAAAAACCAAAAATTTTGGGAAACACTTGGCAGGACAATGATGTGGCCAAACAAAGTGGAATATTAAGTCAATAAAACAAAATTTTAGCAAACAAAATGCTACAAGAACTACATACAAAGCTAGAGAAAATGAAAATATGAAACACATACCAAGACATTTCAACGAATCTAAAAAGAAATTTGTACAATCGTGGCAACACGCCTCGCAACATGACTCAGAGTTTTTGCGACGTTCAGAGTTTTTGCAACCCTTGATGCAGTCGCTATTAATGATGTAAGTGATGTACCTAAAAAGAAGCCAGAAAGGGAGTGTAAAACCTTTAATTATGTTCGTATCCCACTGTGGCCTGGTACACTTGTCCTCGCATTCTTTAATACATTTTTGCTTGCATTCGTCTGTACATTTTTGCTCGCATGTCTTGGCACATTCTGCCTCGTGTTTCTTGATACATTCTTCCTTGCCTTTTTCATTCGTCATTTGAATATCGTTAACGAATACAAAAACTATCAGCCATCCGATAAATACCCACTGCAACAATGAATGCCCAGAGGAAACAAACGCCACTGATGCAAATCCTGCGAATACACATCGACGGAAAAAAGACTTAACCAGTCCACATCCTTCAAAAAACACCTAAGATGCAAGAGAACTAAGAGACATATGACTTTCAGAAGTTTTGTAAAACTCAGTTGTCGGATATCTTATGATATACTGGAGCACAAAAGGTAAAATCATGAAAAAGGATATAAGAAATACGAGTATCACTATTGGAAGAGCCCATTCGACTACAACAGACGAATATTCAGCACAAACTGTCAAGTTTCTTTCACCGGCAATTCTACAACAGTTGTATGATGCATAATGGATAGATTCATCGTTGATTCGGCAAAGTTTAAAGAAACGTTTGTCTAAACTATGTGAAAGCTGATGCAGAAGAGAGTCAAAAATCCAATCCGTTCTTTCTTTTTTGGATGGCAAACAACCATCTGTTTCCTCCGTGATTTGAATATCCACTTCTTCAGTTCCAACTTCTAACATGAAAGTAAAGATAGGTGAAGTGAAGATCCAGCTATCTCTGGCGCGCCGAACCAAATGAATTATAGTGCGACCAAATGCACTCGCCCAAGGCAATTCCAGTCCTTGCAAAAATGGTGTCTTTTTTCCAGGAACAATAGAAATTTTTATGTTAACTATATTCGTGGTAGTGGAACTGCCCTGCTTACTCAGTACTTCGTCTATTTTGGATTTGTCAACGCGAAGATTTTTGCAGCTGTTCGAATTAGGTCCAATGGAAGTGTTGTTCCCTGGTTGAAATGTTGAATTTTGTTGAGGAAACGTTGTTGTTGGGTTCAAAGTTGTTCCAACGAAAGTGATTTTCCCCGACTGAAATGTTAAACTTTCTTGAGCAACTGTTGTTCTTGAGCAGCACATGATAAAAACTGCTGCGGTCAGGTAGCAAGATGAAGTCATTTTGAAACGAAGCTGGGAATAATTTCTGACTTAAATCCTATATTTTGAAAAAGAAAAACATTTCAGTTTCTTAATGTCCTTAAAACAATAGGACAATAATAATAATTTGACAACTTGCAGTCAAGTGTGCGACTTGGTAAAGTTTATGATATGCTCATAGAAAAAAAGTTGGGATCACCAAACTCGTTTCGAAGATATGGCAAGTGCAATATGGACTTTTCCCTAAATATGGCGTTATCTTGACCCTTTTGCGAGTTACAGGAATAATGAGCTCAACCATGGCATTTTTTAAGAAATTACAACTACTTGGGCTAAGTCTCAATAAGGGCCTTTTTCCCCACACAATTACGGGTACATAAAAATCATCATGTGCTCAGGGGCGGCGCTAGCCCAATTTGAAGGGAGGGGGGCTTTATAAGTGAAATATTGCCTACTAAATAGTTTCAAACGCTAATTAGTATTTCTTTCCCCAAAATTGATGGCAAACGAGGGGGGGGGGGGGAGCTTTTACTTGACAAATTTCATATGTCAAAGATATTTTAGATATTTCAGACAAATTTCATATGTCAAAGATATTTTGCCCGTGTAGATGATAAATTTGTGACAAATTTATTGTGAGAAAAATGCTAGGCGTAGGTTAGAATCCTCTCGGTTAGAATCCGAGTTCGTTAGAGCGGTGCACCAGAATCGCAGGGCCATGGTAGCATTTTTTGCAACTGTTCATCAGTTCATGGTTAGGTTTAATAAATGTATATAAATTTCCACTTGATAATTCCCATTCCCAAGACCCTTCACTGAACTATTATTCAATTGAACGAGATCACAAAATCTTGGTATAGCAGAAGTGCCACACGAGTAGCGTGTAAGTCAATATATTGCCCGGAAATGAGCTGTTGCAGAGTTGCAGTTGCTAGGTAACAAGTAGACTGCGAGCAATCCCTAATAAAATAGAGGGATTGCCGCTTTAACTAATTGTCAAGCGTGTTTGATTAAGCTCCGCCTACTTGTTTATATTTCAAAACAGGGTCAAAAACATCTCTTGAAAGGCGCGGTCTCGAATGACTCAATTCGCTTAGGGTAAAACCATCAAACAACGTGTATTTAAATTCTCAAATTTCAGTTTGGCAAGTATGAATATTCATAATCAGAATTTGTCTGGCAGGAAAACGTATAAAGCAAGGCAAGGAGTCTTGGGGTTTATTGAATGGTCTATTCTATAGACTGTGACTTTCTGCGACAATATTTTGACATAGTT